ATGTGAATGCCACTGCCGTAGCGTACGTATGCAGGAGCATAGCTGTGTGCAAACAATCTGGCGGTGTCAGGACCAGGGGGCGACACAAATAGAGAGGGGGGACACTCACGTGTAACCGCCGTTGGGAGTGGCATTGTAGGTAAAGCTTAGCCTGTCCCAACCTCCGCCTGAGCCCTCTTGCCCGCGATTTCGTTCGCCGCCAAAGAAATCATTGAGCAGACCTTGATCGGCACCGTCCCAAGTTCCGGTGGTAGCTGCAAATGATCTTATCGATGCAAACGTGCTGGCCGAAGGTTGAAGGAGCAAGACGCCAGAATTGAAGGCGTCTGGCCAGCCAATGTCCGGAGCAGCGTACAGAGGGGAAGGGGCAAGTCCAAACAGGTGATGGATCGGTCGCTAAGTGCACGGGAAAAGGGGGCCAGCGTCAGCAACATCTTCTCATGGAAGCTGTTGCGCCTCCGCCTCACTCACCAAGACGATGGTGTCCGCATCGAGGAAGAGGACCCGCTTGTACGCATCCAGTCGGAATGCGTGCAGCTTGGTCAATGCCGCCCCAGCCGATTCTCCCAAGTCTGGCCGGCCTAAGGGGGGGGCATCCGAGCGGGTTTTGTCAGGCTGCTGGACTCCCGCACACCGCATTCATGCAGCGCAGCGCAGCTCGCTCACCTAACAAGGCCAAATTCCTCGCCGCCTGCCTTCGAATCCTTCTGCCCAACTTGGCATCCTGAGATCCTTGTTGCGCACCGCCAACGCCCGAGGCAGTAGCAGCCAGCTTTTTTGTAGCTTCGTCGACTATGCAAGTAGCGAGGGAAATGTGCTCCACTCCCACTACGCGATCAAAACGACGCGCCAAAGATTTGATGGTTCGAGGGCTAAGACTGGCCGGAGTCACTAGAGCGATGGTGTGAATATCTTGCCGAGGTGTCTCACTCGTCCTCGCCAACGCATTGTCCGAAGCGCGGCTGGCTTGATCGGTAGATGCCGGCAGATGCTTGGCTAGGGAAGCGGAGAGAGCGAGTGCGCCGGGCAAGTAGTCGTCGGTGGTGACTAGCGTGACGATGGCAAAGGGTGTGCGGCCGCTGGCTGATGGAGACGAGGACGATGTGTGAGGCGCCGGCGTCGGCGTCGACATGCTGTGCCGCGACAAGCCAGAAAGGGTGGGAGTGGAGTGAGGTAGCAATGAGTGAGGAGGCAGGGGATGTGATGTCCGGGCCAATCTGCGTGCGCATCCACAAGTCGATGCGAGACGCGAGACAAGAGGTGATGAAGAGAGCGCGGGCGATGTGTAGATGTGAGAATCAAGAAGAGCAGATATACACTCACACTCGCTCGCTCACCAGCAGCAAGCATGCATTCGTGGGCCATCTACTCGTGACTCAGACTGTATCTCCATCCTGCCCGCCCGCCCGTACCGTAATCGCCGAGGCGGCAAAAGTCGACTCGAGTCGAGCAAGGTTGTGACTGACTG